CAAATCCTGAGCATAACCAGAAGCCTTTACCAAGACTAAAAGAGCCAGTCGAATCTTAAAGTAACGTCCAGACCGCGTAGTCTTTGAATTAAATACAAGTACTAATGTTGCCTCTTTGTTTAAACTTACTTACGCGGCACTTTAGAGCTTCAGTGTGCTGAAAGCGTGTGGGGCTGTTTGCGACCATGGTGCGCGTCAATGTTTTGGCTGATGCGTTGAAATCGATCAATAACGCTGAAAGGCGAAAGAAGAGGCAGGTCATGATACGCCCTTGCTCGAAGGTCATTGTTCGATTCCTGAAAGTTATGCAACGCAAGGGATACATAGGTGAATTCGAGATTGTTGATGATCATCGTTCTGGGAAGATCATCGTGCAGCTGAATGGACGGCTTAATAAGTGCGGAGTTATTAGTCCAAGATTTAAGATGGGAGTGAAAGACACTGAACACTGGACTCGCAACCTCCTTCCATCTCGTCAGTTTGGGTAGGTTTTAAGCTTTTGCATTACTCTTGTAGTTACATCGTCCTTACGACAAGTGGTGGTATGATGGACCACGAAGAGGCAAGGAAGAAGCACTTAGGCGGTGTCATCCTGGGGTACTTCTTCTGAGTATTGGTAGGGTTTTGTAAAAAATAAATTTTGCTTGGAAATCCCTCAATGCTTTCTGCCTTATTTGCTATTATTTTACATTTGTTGCGGCCTACCATGTGTCCGTATACTTTATACAAGTCACGTAACCCCCCTCCCGCACATCTATCGCTTAAATTTATGTTCCTACTTAGGAGAACAACTGTCCTTGAGTCTTGATATGTATTACCGGTAACTAGGGCACCCATTTTTCCGACACCTCAGACACATGAATTCATACCATCGCTGGTGAAGCGCTTAGAATCCCATAATCCCATTCTCTGGTTATCAAAATGCATAACGATGTCACAGGCTAGCAATTTACAAATGCATTGAATATCTGGTGATTATATGTACACGGGGTTCGAGGTGCTCCAAACAATAGTGTTTATTTCCGGAAGGCTGCAACCTCGTCTGTATCCCCATCACTGAACGGACACGGGCGTCCGTTGACTTTACAATAGTGTTCTATTGCCCGTCCATAGGCTTTCACCACCTAAAAAGTGACAGGTAGTAAAAATGAAAGCTTGAGGGTGAAAGCCTACCGATTGCCTAAGTTTGCTTCGCTTAGCCTCGTGCAGCTTCTCCTCGTCGATGGCGGTGCTGGTTGCCAAAGGGAGTAGCTTGTCATATGGTAACCATTGCCAGGTTCGTTTTCCATCGAAAAACAGAACGAGGAATGTGGGACTCGCTGGAGGCAAGGTGTTAGCGTTCACTGGGAGTGGGGAGGGGGACGCGGTGTTTGAGTTTGGACTCATCGCGGCGTCCGTAACGCGAAGTGGGCCTGTCTGAAAAGGAACTGCGGCACTGGACCCGACATTGAGAACAGACTCAGGTGGAACGGGGATGGGTACTCCGTTTTGATTATATTCCTTGGTTGGTGCAGCCGGATTGATCACCTGACGGATGCAATCGCGATCAGATTCCCTTATTGTATTAGCAAGAGGAATCTTGACTAGTGATAAACGTACCATGGCCGGATACCAAGGGGATCCCCGACATTTTGCCCAGACCAGGTCCAGATGCTCAAAATTTCTATCATCCATGTGTGGTTTCGTTTGCGGTAACGACTGAACTGGAAGGCTTGCAGATTCTGAACCTGCCTGTTGTGTGTTCGTTTTCGGCATGCTTCTTCGCTGTCGTCCTTTTTTCGATGGTTTCCGCTTCCTGACTGCAGATTGACCCGGATTCTTAAGTGACATGAATTTGGAGAGAGTCCATCCTTGTCCATGAACACTTCGATTGTTCGATTTTCTGGCCGCCGATCTGACAACACTTTTCAGTGAGGGCAGTTTCTGATCCAAAATGAAAGTCAACCACCGATAAAGTGAGGGTATTTTAACTATAAAAATTGGAACTTACCCTTACGCTGGCTGATTTGATAGCATTAACG